CTTTCTTTTTTTTTTTTTTTTAATTTGAGACTGCTTAAAAAAAAAAAAAAAGCCCATTTCATTTTAATCATGTATTATGCAAATTAGAAATTTAAATATCATTAAGAAATCTGTTGCTAACTTAATTTATTTCTGCTGTAGCACCACTGAAGGCTTTTGATCTCAGATTAGTGCTTTGATCTGCTCCCTTGGTCGGGGTTATGCTCTGCCGCTGCGGTAAATGCTCTTCCTCAGATGTCAAACGTGCAACACCAGAACAGCTTGTTCAAAGCATGGCAGAGGAAACGCAGCCAATTAGGCCAGATGACGAGGGTTTGCAATGAGGAGAAGTTTGTTTCTAAGAGCCACAGCCTGTTGTGCTGTGCCCTGGACATGCCCCAGCCCGTGGGGACAAGCTGTGCCGGCGTCCAGCCAAGGATGCAACAGGTCATCCCTAGGAGCAGTGGCAAACCTTTCCAGACCTTCTCCATCTACTGTTCATTAAAAACACAACCTGCCATGTTCTATTTATTCCTCATTTAGTGCAAGTAAAGTGCTGATACATACGTTTTAGCTCCAGTGGTTTTAATCAGTTAATTTAACCAGAAGCATTAATAATGTATTGCTTTGCCACTTGACTGCTCATCTGTTAAGCAGCTTATACATAGAAGAATGTCACCCCCTGTGACATGAAGTGCCTAATTCAGAGCAAATGAAATAGGATTTTGCATATTCAATACCAAAATGAGAAAAGAGGGAGACACCCTCTCCTGGGAATGGATCAACCTGCTGTGATGGGATTTCTGTCCTGGCAGGCAGGAAATCCCTCCTTGTGGGACACACTCACACTTTCTGTATCTGATTTTATGGTTGAATTAATTTTCTTGGCATTACTCAGCACATACCTGGCTCTGCCTCCTGCTGCACCTTGTGGTGGAATCAGAGGCACTGGGAATGCATCTCTGTCCATCAGCTCCTCTACCAGCCACCATGGGGCCCCAGGGACACCCCCAGAGTGACCAGTGTGGGGGGCTGTGGCAGGGAGGTGACAGTAGCACTGTTCCCACTCAGGTTTGGCTCCACGGTGCAGGGTCACAGCAGCTGAAATAGAAATGTTCCTGGTCACGTTTGAGGTGTTGGGGACAGCGAGCTCCTGGAGACTGGGGGGAATCAGCCACTCCACTGTGCTTGTCTCTCCTCTGAGCTCACAGGGTATTCAAGCTCCATGTCCTGCCTCTTCCCAAGGATGTCAGACAGCAAATCCAGTCAGATGTGTTGGGGAGTTCAGGAACACCCAAACCCAAGTCCAGAGGAGCTACACTCACCACATTTCCCTGTAGGGTATCGTGGACATGGGGAAAACTCCTGGGTGGGCAGGTATGTCATGGGCTTCATCAGGCCCATGAAACTGGGGTCCTCAGCAAAAGCAGGTGGAAATGCCTTGGACCTGAGAGCCAGGGAAGCTGCCAGGGTGGGAGCAGCTCAGGGGACAGGCTGGTGCCTTTTTACACAAAAGAGATGCACAGTGAGCACAGGCAGAGTGTGAGCGTAAGTGATGCAGACACACTGGCTCTGAGGTTAATCCTCTCCCCACGTTCCAGGCAGATCCTGCTCCTGAGTTTTTAGCAATCAGCATCCAGAGTGAGGAGCTTCCGTGGGCAGGGGCAGCTCGGCTCCTGAGCCGCCAAGCCCTGCACAGGGGCTCTCTTGCGTGATGCATGTTGATGGAGCCTGAAATTGCTTTGGATCTGTGGCTGTGCTGCATCACATTAAGCAGTGCCACGCTGAAGTGACAGGGCCAGTGCATGATCAGCAGCAGTTGAAGGGGACAGGGACTCAGATCCTGCCGCTCTGTCAAAACCAAAAGCCCACTGACAGAGCACGGAAATTATTTTCAGCTCCTTCCCAGAAGGTTTGTTTCAATCAGTTTGCAAGTTGTGCTCGCTGCCTTGGCGTGAAGCGGCTCTGTGGTGCTGCCACAGGGCACATCCCAGGATGCTGCCATCTGACACAAGGCTGGGTGGGAGCCTGTGGAGGGCTGGGGGGATCCACTGCACCTCTCTGGCAGCAAGGGCTTCCCAGGGGTAACAAGGGCTCTGGAAGGGTGGGAGCCCCCAGCGCTCCTGGCACTGCTTTCCTCACTCATCCCTTTATAGGGTGGGTTTGTTTCTGTTACGGGACCAGCTGGCATCAGCAGCAGATCTGGGGGTTCTGCTCCATGGCAAGCTGAGCACAGGACCAGCTCCTTGGAGCACACTCGTGGATCATTTCACAGTAGCAGCTCCTTGGGGGAAGGTGCAAGGAGAGATTTCTCGTGAATAAATCTGTCACTGTTTTCCCTTTTTGTTTTCTTGATATTTATTGCCTTCTGGATTTCCCTGCTCTCTCTACATCCTTATTATTACACCTGAGACTGCCACAGTCCCCCAGGATGGGCAGACTCTGGGAGTTGAAGCCCCATTCCCAGCCACAACCTCATGCTCCAGGGAACTTTCTTTCACTTCCCAACAGTGTTATCTCATTTCTCTATATAATGCTGCTGTATAAACAGCAGCTCTCAGGGGACCTTGGCCATGACAGTGAGATTCTCCCCACTGGCCTTGTCAGCCAAGCAGCAGTGTCAGGTTCTCCAAGCCTCTGCGAGGAAGCCTCTCCCCAGACTCTCCATTCTCTGCCTCAGGGACCTGTGGAGCAGCATCCCACAGGAAAAGTCACTAAATTCTGTGTACCTGTCCTCAACAACCCATTTGCTAGTACTGTTCCCAAAACAGAGTGATTTGTCCTCAGAAAATGGCAAATCCCATGCCTCAGAAGGCAACAGCAAAAACATTTTATAACCTCAGAGAAAAAAATCCACAAGAAATACAGCTCTGGGCATGGAAGGGCTGTGAGAGGGAACAGGAGCTCCCATGTCCCTGAGGAGCTCTGCTGGCTCCATCCTTGGTAAGAGCTGTCTCAAACCAGGTGTTTCTTCCTGGATGTCACATGGAAAGAGGCTGTCAGAGCTGTCTAAATGTGTGAACAACACTGTCAGCGGGGGAGAGAAAAGTGTTATCAGAAATAGTTGTTCTTCAAAGCTAAATAACTCCGTGATTTATAAGGAGTAAAAGATAAGAGATCACGCCACACGCAGAGGGCTGTTGGAATTTTCTTTCTGAGAATGAAGCTGTTTGTTTTGGTAAAAAGGAAAAGAGGGGAGAAATGAAAACCTCCTAAGACTTTTTTGACTTGGCTCTTGACAAAGCTAAAAATAACTACAATGGCACTGAGCCCAAGTTCCAGGATCACTGGGGTAGTGGAGGAGGGTTCCCAGCCCATGGTCCAGGTGTCTTTCCAGCTCCATCCTGGGACCATTCCCAACATCTTCCCACACCATCCCTTGGGACAGAAGGATGCAGTGCAGTCTTGCTGGATGCAGACAGACCTGGGCTTGTTCTGATTGCCATCAATGGGATTTTAGGTGTTCTGTGTGATGCAGGTTTTGCCCTGAAGAGAGGCTCAAGTTCTGCTACTCCGAGTGAAACTCTCTCTGTGGTTTTCAGCCAAACTTTCCCTTGTTCCAGGGAGGCTCCTCCTGCCTGCCCAGCCCCACTATTGCTCCTCTGGTCTAGACCCAAAGGGAGTTTCAGGCATTTGTTCTGGAATCTCATTTCAGATGTTGAAAACTCCTCACCTTAGCAGAAATGTCAAGGTCATCAAATAAAACAACATAAAGCAGTCAGACATGAAGTTGATTGTAATTAGTGTGTTTTCCCATACACTGGCTGACATTCTCCAGAGAGCAATTAGTCTGCTTTAAGAGTAAAAGACAACTGAATAATTCTTTAACTTGCCTGGGATTGATTTTAAAATCCAAGAAGTCAGATCTAATAATGGATTACTTCATCAAAAAATATGTAAAATAAGTGATAAGTGTTGAAAGCCTTCATCAACAGCTTGTGTGAGGCATCTCCTACAAGGCTGACTCCCAGTCCCAGATCGCACTGCACCAAAGGTAGCCCCAGCATGGCATAAAAAGGTTTCCAGGGAAAAATATCTATGCAAACAAAGTCAACCCGAATTGATAAACTTCAGCACGTGTTGAGTGGTGCATGGCTCCGCAGTGGGGAGTCCTCAGACTCTATTGACTGGCCAAGGAACGGCACACAAAAATCAGGGAGCAAATCCTCTCACCAACCCCAGGAGGATGTCACAAAGCATGACAGACCTTGCCACAACCATCTTTTATCTCTCTACCAAGCCACAGGAGGGGAAGAAAGAAGGAATGAGGAGCTGAGACCTGCACAGACAGGAAATAGAGGGAAAGGCCACAAGCACCACAGAGCATCCAGTGATCTCCAAGACATTTGAACTAGCTCCCAAAGCAGGGCAGAGGTTTAGAGAGTGACAGCAACCCTAAAGGAGCTTCAGTTTTACTCTCTTGGGCGGGATTTGTCGATAGGTGGTGTACAAAACTGGAGACTGATTTGTTGTGGACTTTTCACACCCATGGACTCTTGTCTCTGAGAGTGATGAGGTTTCTGCCCAAGGCCTCTGTGGGATCACTTGCAGAGGAGCTGCCCACAACTGTCCCAACAACTCCCCAGCAGGAGATTGCCCACCCCTGTTCTTTCATGTCTCCTGCTGAGGCTTGAAGGGAACCCCTGGGACCCCCCAGCCTGGCCATCAGCCAGCTGATGTCACATCCCTTGTGCTCTCAAAGCCACGAGCTGAGCATCTCCACTTTGCTCAAATGGAAGAACTGCAACAATTATTTTCATAATTAGCTGGCTTTGCAAATTAATGCCAGTTATGCTGTGTAATCATGATGAAGATTATGCATTAATCAGCTGTTTCAAGCCAGTTATTAGGCTCTTTAAATAATGATGGGAATGAACATCTCTGAAGGAGCAGCACACAGCCAAGAGGGATGTAAAGATCCAACAGGATGTGCCATGTATCCATGCAC